GCCTCCGGTGGGGCCGGGGCAGCGGGGAGGCGGGCCGCGAGCCCGAGGGATTGCACGACTCGTCTCCATCTCTCTGAATGGTAGATGTAAGGAAATGCTGCCCGGCAGGTCACGTGAAAGCGTCGTTACTTATTGCGCCCACAGGGGCACAGACAGATCGGGTGGTTCATTTAGGGACGACTGACAGAGCGAAAACGAGATTTTGGGACTCGCAGCTCGCAAACGGAGCTTGGGTCGCCGTGCCGGCTGATCTCTGGCAGCGAAAAGGCCTTTCGTCGCTGATGAGGCCCCTGAATAAATTAATACCAGAAATCCCGTTTTATTAGCAGTAACACAACTTATTTGTTGCTAATGAGGCCCCCGGATAACCTAATATCAGAAATCCCATTTTATTAGCAGTAACACAACTTAGAAAGCATCTTGCACTTGCTAAAAGAGATCGGTTTTCCTAGGATTTGGAACACTGAATTCCCTTCTGGATCACGTGTTTCGTCGTGGGAATAACGTGAGCTATTCTAGACGTTTACGGTAAATTTGAAAACATCTACTGAGATTGGGAAGTTTCAGAGTTGCTTCACATCCCTCATTTTTATCAGATAGTTCGTATTTGGGGAAATGGCTATTTTTCATTAAGTAAAAGTATTTCATGTAGAACGGAGCTAAGGAACCCGGTGGCCCAGTGGCAGTACAGGAACAAGGAAATGCGTGTTTTTAAAAATGAAAAAGCTTGAGAAGTGGTGGAACTTTAACGGTGGTGATTGCATTAATTTCCACTGGAGAGCAGTAGAGGTTTGCACTGCATTTTCTCTCATTTGGACTGATTCTAAGACAGTAACTGTGCTTTAAATGCATATGCTGCGTTGTCTTTTTATGTAGTAAGCTAGTGGGTCTGCGCAGGAATGACGAGAAGAAAAGACTTCAGCCCCGTATGTTGGATTTTCGTGCGAGTTCTGTTTAGGTACCATCCTCCTAAGCTAATATTCAACATAGTGCGGCCAGGGCACAGGCAGTTAAAGTACAAATTGATTTATAAACACGGCAAAAGGAAAGAAGAGCTGTTTGCCTTTTAATTATGACAAAAAAAATTACATCATTTTAGCTAAAAAATCATTAAAAAAAAGACACAATGTGTACTTTCCTACTGACATCTCCTCAAGTGCAATTTTCATTTAAATTATGGGAAATGATCCCCATGAAAAGATTTTTTTTTTTTTTTCCATATTTCTCTCTCGCTGTTGTCCACTGAGGAAAAAATGCGACTTCTCTGTGTTTGCCTGCTGCCTGCCGTGGATTACAGTCTTTACTTGATGCAGGAGTGTTGAGGGAAGCTGTCTTTCAGAACTTCTCTCTCCCTTTAGGTCATACACAGTTTCCCATTTGCCTCAGCCGTCTGTGTTGCGGAAGCGAGCGAGCCTTTGGGGTGGGGGTTACTGACTTGCGGTTTTTTTCCTGAGCCCGAATCAATCTTGTAGGAAGGCTGCGAACGGCCGAAGCTGAGAGGTAGCTCCGTTCTGCTCTCAGGACAGGGTCGGCAGGCCATACCTAATTGCCGGGGACTTTTAACCTAGACCTCACCCGTTATTCATGCGTATTACTGCATAATGCGAGGACAGCTCTAAACAACTGCAGATTACTGTGAGGATAAAAATACCAATTGTCTGGAGCTGTAGCAGAGGTCCTTTTCTCTGTGTAGAGTTTTATAGTATGCAATCCACCATACTTGGCAAATCGCACAAATACATTAGCTCGGAAGACGTACGTTCTGACAGATGGCAAAAATGGGTCAAGGTGTCTGCTGACAGCCTTTAAGGGAAGGGGTCTCTGGGGATATGCTATTTTTATCCTGTTTCTACTAGCAAAATTGAGAGATGTGGTTTTCTTTCACAGCTGGAGCGAGTCCATCGCTGAACAGGCAGGCCGTTGCCACTGGAGTTGCAGTCAGACTGACGAGTACAGGTAGAAGAGAGCCATTTGTGCTCGTGTTTTATCTCTAGTCACCTAGGGGGTTTCTAACATGGTTAAATGAAGCATTTAAAAAGATGAACGTTAGAAAAATTACCTGGGAGCCAAATTTCAAGTGGTGTCAAGATGTATCTTGCTGACAGTCTTACCGTTGTGATCACGTTTTATGATGCGCACCCCACAGTCAGTGTGAGATCAGAAACTCGGGGATGGATTGAAAATAGAACAAGTCATGGAATTATATCCTAGTTGCTTGCCAGGAGATTAAGAGACTGTGATGACCTGTCAATTTAGTAAACTAATCAATCATATAAAACAGCAGAAAAGAAACCCGACAGTATTGTCTTTGTAGCTTGAAAGCACTGGCTGGCTGTGGTAACTACTAGAGTAAAATGCAATTCACACTCTTGGGGAAAGAACTGCCTGAAAAAGAAATTAGTTTTCTGAATAATAAGAAAAATTATATTCCCTATCCCTAGAAAAAACAGCTTATTTGAAAGTAAATTGATTTGCAGTTTGCCAGGGAAGAAAATTAGCCCTTGAATCGGTGTGGGGTGAGAAGAGCTTAACTGGGACTTTACCCAGAGGAAGAAATTGTTGTAAAAGCTTAATTCTGTGGTGCTTTATATCTTAAAGTGCAACAGAAATCAAGCTAAAAACAGAGGAATGATAGCAACACTTAGCTAAATGAGGAGTAGTATGGCAACGAGCAACAAAACATGTCAGACTTACGAGTCTGGTTATGAGGAGCAAGAGGTGCACAGCACAAAATGTGAGTCCCGATGAGAACTCCCCAGATGTCCTGAGTGGCACAGATATAGGCCGTTAGCAGAGATCGTTATAAAACTGGGGCCAAAACGACAAAGCTAGGAGCTATGTTTAAATTCTCATGAAATTTGGAGCCATTCACAGTCGGTCTTTTGCCTCAGGCTGGTTTAAAAATCTCTACTGGTTTTAAGTCATGTTTAAATGGCTTGAGCTCAGTAAATATGCTTAGTTCACTTACCGAAGACTTCGAAGGTCTTTACTTTCTCTTCCCATGATGAGTCCGTTTTTAGGAGATTATTTGTCTAGACGGCCTACTTCTTTGCACTTTAGGCAAACGTGTAATTTTCAGTGTAATTTAGTAATTTTGGTAGAATTTTCAGCCAGCAAAAAAGCTGCTCATTTATACATTAAAAATAACAAGGAAGCATACTTCTGTGGCGTGTCATGTACTATATAATGTACAACATGCTCTGCTAATCATGGATTAATCTCAAAAGTGACAAAGATGACCCTTATTTAATGAAGTTAAAAGACTTGGCGAAGATCTCACAGCAGACCTATGGTAAAGCTGCAAATAGTGCTTGCCCGCCTTACGGCAAGTCCTAAGCTTTAATCGTTAAATGACATCGTTTTAGCAAGGCTGTTAATAGATGCCCTGTTGCTGCTTTTAAGTGAGTATTTTTCTAAAAATTCTGTTTCTAGAGAGCTTTTTCTGTTTTTAAACATTATTTTGCCTTAGTGAGGATTACAGCATTAGAGTTTGTAATGGTAGTATGAAACGTCTTAAATAAACGTGTATTGAAACAACAGAATATAGTGGATCGACATTATCGGGAGAATACGCAGAAATTCCAAGTCCAAAATAACTTCAGGGGGGACTTGCTAGAATATACAATGCTGTGGGGTTTTTTTAAACATCTTTCATTAAATCAGAGACCTTGGAGAAATGAATACATCATAGTACGATCACACGTGGGAATACAGACCCCTGAATGCTAGTGAACGGGTTGTACCAGTAGGTGCTTATGCCAGATCTAGATTCTCCCTCCAGAACTAAAAGCGAGACGGGGACGTGTGATGGATTGTAGCGACGAAAAGGGATCCCAAGTAAGGAAATCCATGCCATCGAACAGCTGAACTTGTCCCCGCTCAGCAGCACAGAGGGGAGTGAAATCCACATTATTTTGCTTTCAAGAAGAGCCAGGGAGCAGAGCCCAGAACGGTCACGCCGGTTTGAGAAGCAGGCGAGGGCGGATCTCCTCCCGGCGGGACGTGCTGCCAGTGCGGGAGCGCGGGCCCCCAGGTGCGTTCTCCCCAGGTCTCTCAAAGGGAGTGAAATGCTCGAGGCAGAACAGCGAAGCGGTAAATTGTTGAAGGGAGATCTAAAATAGCACAACCAGCAAAAAAAACCCCTGCCTTCTTCAAAGAGGAGACTCAGAAGAAAACGGAACAGTATGACGACGAGATTTTTATTTAGGTGACTTTGCGTGCCTTTTGTTAAATGAAAAATGAGGTTCAGCAGCTACGAGTTAAACGCTTAAAAAAGGCATTTCCCTGGCGTCCCCACTTTGAATAACCTGGAAAACAGAAAATCGGTAGATGATGGTCTCAACCAGCAGCAGGTACTCTGAGCTCCGTGCTGACGGCGGCGAGGCGGCGGTGCGGGGCGGCCCAGGCGGTGACGGGTCGGACGAAGAGGCCGGGGCCGCCGGCGGGAACCCAATCCCATTAGCGGCTTAGGAGTAAAGGTGCGGGCTGACACCGACCGAGAGGTCCCGGCACGGGGTACGGGGCAGCC